GTTTCAATCTTCTGCATGTGGTCAGCCAGTTTTCCCAGCACCGTTTACTGAATAGGTTCTCCTCTCCCCAGTGGTAGGTGGTGGAGGCTTTGTCGAAGATGAGTTGGTTGAGAAATTGAGGTTTTGCATCTGGGAATCTCAATTCTATTCCATTGGTCTGTATGCCTGTTCCTGTACCAATACCAGGCTGTTTTGATAATTGTAGCTTTATAGTAAAGTTCGAAGTCTGGTAATGTGATACCACCTGCTTTGTTTTTTTTAATGAGGATTGTTCTGGCTATTCTTGGACGTTTGTGTTTCCATATGAATTCCTGAGTTGTTTTTTTCTAGGTCTGAGAAGAATGTTACTGGTAATTTGATAGGTATTGCATTGAATTTGCCTTAGGTAAGATGGACATCTTCACAATGTTGATTCTTCCAATCCATGAGCATGGGATATTTTTCCACTTGTTTGTGTCATCTTTGATTTCTTTGAGCAGTGTTTTGTAGTTTTCATTGTAAAGATCTTTCACATCTTTGGTTAGGAAAATGCCAAGGTATTTCATTTTTTTTTTGTGGCTAATGTGAATGGAATTGTGTTTTTTACTTGGGTTTCTGTTTGTTTATTATTGGTGTAGAGAAATACGATTGTCTTTTTTACATTTATTTTGTATCCTGAGATTTACCAAAGGCCTTTATCAGTGTAAGGAGGTTTTTGACAGATTCTCTTGGATTTTCAAGGTACACAGTCATATCATCTGCAAAGAGAGATAACTTGACTTCCTCTTTTCCTATTTGGATACCCCTGCTTGCCTTCTCTTCTCTGATTGCTCTAGCCAGGACTTCCAATACTATATTGAACTGTAGGGGTGAGAGTGGGCATCCTTGTCTTCTTCCAGTTTTCAGGGGAAATGGTTCCACTTTTTGTCCCTTTAGGAGTATGCTGGCTGTGAGTTTCTCGTAGATGGCTTTTACTATTTTGAGGTATGTTCCCCGTATGCCTGGCTGTGAGGGTTTTTATCAAGAAGGGGTGCTGGATTTTATCAAAAGCTTTTTCTGCATCTAATGATATAATCATGTAGTTTTTATTTTGACATCTGTTGATGTATTTAATCACATTTATGGTTTTATGAATGTTGAACCAGCCTTGCATCCCAGAGATGAGGCCTACTTGGTCATGATGGATGATTTTTGAAATGTGTTGTTGAATCCAGTTTGCTAGGATCTTGTTGAGAATTTTAGCATCTATGTTAATCAAAGATATTGACCTGTAGTTCTCTTTCTTTGTTGAATCTTTACCTGACTTGGGTATCAATGTGATGTTGGCTTCATAAGATGATTTGGGGAGAGTTCCATCTTTTTCAATCGCCTGGAATACCTTCAGTAGGATTAATATCAGTTCCTCCTTAAATGTCTTGTAGAATTCTGCTGGAAAGCCATCTGGACCAGGGATTTTTTTTGTAGGAAGTTTTCTTATTACGTAGTTGATTTCCTTGATTGTTATTGGTCTAATTAGGGTCTCAATTTCTTCTTCTTCCAACCTAGGTAGGTTGTGTGATGTCAGAAAGGCCTCCATTTCCTTAAGGTTTTCAAGTTTGTTTCCATACAAGTGTATGTAGTAGTCTCTAATGATCTTTTGTATTTCTTCAGGGTCAGATGTGACTTCATCTTTTGTGTTTCTGATTGTGCTTATTTGGTTTTTTTCTCATTTTTTCTTGGTCAGTCTAGCTAGGGGACCATCGATCTTGTTTATCCTTTCAAAGAACTAGCTTTTTGTTTCATTGATTTTTTTGTCTTCTATGTCCTGGATTTGGGCTTTTATTTGGGTGATCTGGATTCTTCTGCTGAAATTAGGATTTTTGTGGTCTTGCTTTTCCAGCTTCCTTAGGTGGCTTGTTAGGCTGTTAATTTGTGTTCCTTCCATTTTCTTCATGTGTGTTTGTAGGGATATAAATTCCCCTCTTACTACAACTTTCAAGGCGTCCCAGAGATTTTGGTAAGATGCTTCTTCATTTTCATTTGTTTCCAGGTATCTTTTGGTCTCTGTTTTGATTTCATCATTGACCCAGGAGTTGTTTAGCATCATGCTGTTTAGTGTCCATGTCTTTGTGGGCTTTGGGGGGACCTTGTTGGTGTCAATATTTATTTTTATTCCACTGTGGTCCAAGAAGGTGCATGGTAGAATTTCAGTCCTTTTAAATTTGCTTATGCTTGATTTATGTCCAATTATGTGGTCAATCTTAGAATATGTTCCATGCCGTGATGAGTAGAATGTGTATTCTGTGGTCTTTGGATGAAGTGTTCTGTAGGTATCAATTAAGTCCATTTGGTTCAGAGTCTCATTGAGGTTCTGGATCTCCTTGCTGATTTTTTGTCCTGATGATCTGTCTAGTGTTGTGAGTGGGGTATTATAAAGTCCCCAGTTATGATGGTGTTAGAGTCAATATCTTTCTTTAGTTTTCCTAGAAGTTGCTTTATGAAAGTTGGCGCACCTATGTTGGGTGCATATATGTTTAGGATAGATATTTCTTGTTGATGAAGTGAACCTTTTATCATTATGTAGTGGCCCTCTGCATCTTTTTAAATTTTTGATAGCTTAAATGGTATTTTGTCTGAAATTAGGATCGTGACTCCTCCTTTCTTTTGTGTTCCATTCGCCTGAAAATTTGTTTCCCATCTTCTTACTTTGAGTCTGTGTATCTCCTTTCTAGTGAGATGGGTTTCTTGAAGGCAGTATATTGTTCCTGGTGATATTTTATCCTTTTTGCCATTCTATGACTTTTCAGTGGTGCGTTTAGTCCATTCACATTCAGGCTAATTATTGAAATATGAGAGTTCGTCCCTATCATAGAGTTCTTATAGAGTTGTTGTTCTTCCACTTGGTTTTTTTTGTCTTTCTTTTGATTTGGGGGTTGGTTCATGTATATTTTATTCTTTTCCCTGTTCTCTTGTGAAGAACGTTGTTCTTTTTTCCTTTTCTTCTGGTTTAGTACTTTCTTAAGTGTTTCATGTA